TTTTACATTTTAATGAAACAATAATACATATTGTGCCTTTAAACACACTAAATTCCAGCCACATGATTGGCCAAACAGATATTTGCTAACACACAATTGAACAGGTGATCCTAAATATAGCCAGTGAGTGTTAATACAGAATTGTTTTAAGTCAATTTCTCTATAGAAACTGATCAACAGTATTTTTTACTTTTGAAATCTTATTGTTATTGTGTGCCAAATTTCAGGGTGATTTGCTTTATGCATGACTGTGCTGGTAGTCATTTCTCTGATATTTTCTTTCAGCAAGCCCCGCACAGTACCATGAATATTCGAAGAAAGATCCTGAGCCTGAGTGATCTGCAGACTTGCTCTTTACTGCAGCTGAATGCACTCAGAGCTTCACTCAATGAGGACATTCAAGGTATCATTTTCCATAATGAAACAGTCTGCAGTTATTGAACAAGACGTTCAATCAATAATGCCTCGGCTCGCACAAATCTGTTGTCATTTTGTTTTTACCCGATGCATTATTTTCATTCCTGCTTTCAGAATTGAGCTCAGAACTGGTGAAGCATCTGGTAATACGGGACCACCTTCGGACCAAGCAAGATGCTTTGCTCCTGGATGTACAGGATATGACGTCATTGTGAATGATTGTTTGTTTGCGACGCTGCATGACAGCAGTTCAACATTGGCACTTTCTGAAAACGGTAATTTACTGTTACTCATCCTGTGGACTAACAAAGGCCAGAATATCCTGTTTGTTCTTGAAGAAACGTAGCCTTCAGAAACTTTGATAAAATGTGAGTCACATTGATAAAAGTCACAAGTTTTATTGTGAAAAAAACAAATGCCTTAATAACGAAACCTAATAGCTCTGATTCATGTCTCAGCACTTGGTTTAATTTAGCTTCCATCAATTAGAGAATATATAAATAATAAGCTGCTGTCAAAGCCATATGTGATCAATAACTGGGATGTATTAACCATCAGTTTCTCTAAAGCATTCCAATCCTGAAATACAGTATATATATGTAATCGTTATGACAATATAAATATTGTGAATGATGCTGTCTCATATAAATGTGCCTTACAACTTTCCTGTGTATCAAACTTATACATGAGAATGAAATATATCTGAATTCCTAATATTCACTATAATTTAATAAAATCATTTATTTTATATTTTATACACCATTGTCAGACTTTTTTTTTTCCTTCATAATAACATGAAATTTGGTTTAAAAAGATGTTAACAAACCACAAATAGATTATAAGTACTTCTCAGTAATGTGGTAGAGAACACATTCATTTAACAGACATAAAAATGGCCATTTTATAGTTATATAGTAATTTTATAGATATATTTATAGTGTTTTTTGTAATGCAATAGCTCTTTTCATCCAAAAATGTGAATGAACTTCATGTGCAAAACTTTTATCGCATAAAAGACATACAAATAAAACAGTGTTTCCATTTAACGACGCAAAATCGAACAAAATCATAACTTCTTGATTATCTGGCGCCAAATATCAACAGTAAAAACGCAATTTGCTGTGGTAGGAGAGGCTGCGTGAATCTTTTCTTTATTTATTGACTTTCGCCTCAAGCCTGGTTTATACATCTGCGTCATGTGACCGGCGTAACCCATGGTGCATGCAACGTGCATAGCTGTGCATTTATACTTCTGCGCGCTGTCTCTGTTGGTCTGCATTAACACTTCCGAAACGCTAGTTGGCAGTGAGGTGTAAATGTTCTTCTGTGTCGAGTTTCTTCGCTGCTGTTCTGCTTTTCCTGAACACTTCCGGGATGTACAAGTGGCTAAAACTCGCTCATTTTGAGGCAGGAACCGGCGGACGTGCAACAACTTTAACCATGAGGTAAACACAAAACAAAACTTTCCATCCGGAGCTCCTTCATGGGACTCCACACTTGTAAACAATCGCTCCATCAGGCTCGCACCATTCACGCGGCTCTCGGTCCTGCCCAGACTCATCAGAGCTACCAAGCCGACCAATCACAGAGCTTGCGCTATGCGTCGTTGCGACATGTAGTTACATTTTTTGAGAGGTGCACATCAGCGACGCCGACGGCAGCAGCGAAGGGCTATGCGTCAGTGCCGTAGCATACGCCGGCGTTAGACGCAGAAGTATAAATCAGCCTTCAGAAGGCAATCCTGACACGCAGTGAACCCGTGGTGGCGTTTGAAGGCAACAATTCTGGAGGTTATTAATAATATGATAACACTAATAGATGGTTAAGGTGTTTTAGAATGACCAAAACAACATTTCAGGGGCCTCATGTACGTACGCAGAAAAAAATTCATATGTATGAAACACTGCATACACCAAATTCCACGCATATTCTTTGTACATCCGAATGAACAAGAAACTGAGCGCAAAATGCACGAGCGCAAAACCCCTCCCTGCCTCCTCCCCCGTATGAATATGCTAATGACTCTACTTTGGCAAAACCCAATGAAAAAGCAATGGCAAAAGCAAGCATAAAGAGAAACTTTGAACAGAATGTGAATTGGAGGTGCTGCTTTCGGAGGTAGACCGGAGAAAAACAGTGTTATTTGCAAGTTTGTTCTCCGGAATTAATAACAAAAGAAAAAAATAGAGTGGGAGAGTTTAGCTGATGCGGTTAACACAGTTGGGTCTGAACAACGAGTGGATTAAAACAGAAATAGTGTAATTTATAGGTGTAACTGTTGCAGCATCTTTAACAGCTCGTAAAACGCATGGTAACATGTTTTGACACGTTCGAGCATGAACTCGATTCGAATCCAGAGTCTGATGAAGTCAGATTCCTTTTTCCCCCGCTACATATCAGATTTTGCCTATACTCTTCATCATGAGGAAGACAAGTAGGAATCATTAATTAGTGTGTGCATCATATTTTATTTGCACATTTATTGAATAAAAATGTTTCTGATTCACACAGTCAAATTCATCTTCAGATGGTGCCTTTATAGCAATGTGTGTGCAGAAGATTGCTCCGATTACATTGGGAAAAACGGTGACCGCTGCAAATTGCGCTTTAATATTTGGCTTGTCAACTGTATGGTATGGAAACCTTATAAACCAGCTGGACATGCGGATGAACCCGTCTCATACAGCTGCCATTGAACGGCTCAAAGACATGTTGTAGAGTGCAATTTTTACACAATTGCCTCTAGGAGTCGCCAATGGAAATGAAACAGACATGCACAAAAAATGTGCGTACGCCATGCATGAAGCTGGCGTGGAGCTGCGCACATTCACACGTTCATTATTGTACGTAAATCCAAACGTGAGCGATTCTGAGCGTGAAACCTGGCGTACGCAGCGTTGATACATGAGGCCACAGATGTTTTACAGTGTGCTCAGCCTGCTGGTTTATCCATTTGCACAAATTTTTATCATCACATAACCTCTTATAACAAAATCACATGACCTTTTTTAATGCGCATACTGGAATTTGTACTGTAAAAGTGTTTCCATCGCAGTTTGTGCATATCTTTTCTTATCGAATAAATAGTTTATCCTACTCAACCTACCTACATGTTTTTTATGCACATTTTCAAAATGTGTGCTCATCTTGGCGTTTCCATCAACCGTGTTTTATGCGCATATCCAAAATCCTCATAAATATAGGTGGATGGAAACTTAGCTAATGTAATGTGTATTTTTATGGTGCATTTATCATGTATGACCATACACCCAAAGCATTTCACAATCATGAGGGGGATCTCTCCACACACCACCACCAGTGTGCAGCATCCACTTGGATGATGCGACAACAGCCACAGGACAAGACACGGTACTAACCAGGCTCAGCCTTGCTTAGCTTCAGTAAGTAACCGGTCTTAAGGTGCAGGGTCATATGGCTGTGGTGATTTTGTAATTATTTTCTTTTAAAGGAAATTTATTTGAATAGCATATTTGAATTAATGCACACATATAAACTTTGCAGAATGTCTTTTTCCCCGCAAATGGTTATTGTTGTATTATTTGTGACTTTAAACATGTTAATGATGTTAATCATGTAAATGGATATAATGCTGATTTTAAAAAAAGACAAAAAGATTAAAAACGATACTTGTTATGCATTGATAACATTATTTGAACTGATTTGTTTAGCCTGGATATGTTTAATGTAACAAATTTACATGGTTTTCCAGAAACTGAGCTTAAAGTACTCAAGTACTCAACCGTGACTTGGCTGAGTGGATGGTGAGAGAGAAAGACAGAGAGAGCAGAGACAAGAGAGAAAGAGAGGGGGGAGAGAGAGAGAGAGAGAAAGAAAGAGAGAGAGAGAGAGAGAGAGAGAGAGAGAGAGGGGAAAGAAGCACACAGAATTACTGATTGAGAAGTGATTAGTAAAATCTGCAGCTCTGCATAGTAAATTGGGAAAGTAATTTGTAAACAGAGACCGTAGTTGCAGTGCAGGAAAAGCTGAAGTTTTTCTCCTGACCTTTTATGAAATCCGAGAAGAAATGAATGCATTTTGACTTCCCTTTGGAGTTTGCGTTTTTCTTGACCTTTAAGCAGGTAAGATATTTCATATAGATCTATTTTCAGCAGTCTACAGAGCAAATTTAGCTTTACTACTTAAGGAAAGAAATTGCTTTAAATGAACAAAGATGGCCTATTCCTTTCATTCTCTTTAATGCATTTTTAAATCATTCTCCCTTTATCTAGTTTAACATTTAATAGTGGGATGATGGTGTTTATTATCACTATGCACAGTTTTGTGCTGAACTGTATGCTGGATTGGGTTTCCGCTCAGCATTTCTTGTCTGAATGAACGGGTATTAATTATTTACTGGAACATACCTGCCAGGACACATGATATTGTAATACCAAAGCTGCCTCTGGTACACAGTAATACTCATTAAGAAATAATCTCAAGTATGTCGTGAACTAAAACAGGAGACCTTGTCATTACATTTACATTATGTAGGTCCTCTGCATATAGATGGATGTAACAGTCATGTCTAGACATAAATTAGGCATCTTAACAAACACGCTTACCAGTTTTCATTGCAAGCGGGGTCAGCTAGGTCAGGAAGTGACTCATGTTGACACCTCTTAGTCTGTATAAAGAAAAAAAAGGGGTCACATTTTATATTAAACAGCCTTAACTGGTTTGCACTTGAGCATTTAATACAATACTGGTTATGTACATACAAGATAATGTGCTGTGATTACATATAAAGTAAACTTTTATAGCTAACTTTACCTATTACCGTAACAGTCTTATCCAAAAAGCCAAACTTCTCAAACCCTAACACTGCGCTTGAACATTAGTACTTTTAAACATGCTGTACTCTAAACCCTAACCCTACCCTTAATCTTAAACTTAACCAAGTCTCAAACTAATTTGTGTCCCCTTACTTGCCTCATGCTATTCCTAAAAGGAAGGTTTGTAATTACACACTTACCTCTATTCCAAAACATAACAACTAACCTCTTACTTTATATCCCAACCCTACCATTACTCATACATTCTAACCCAAACCCTAAATCGTACACCAAACTAAACCACAACCATTTATGCGCCAAGATCTTAAACCCTACATTTATTTCTTAAACCAAACCTCAAACTTACTAACAGCTAATGTAAAACTCTTCCAGAATAACTTGTATATGCTACACACTAAACCCATAGTCTTGTAGTATTTATTGTCAGTACATTGCCATTATAAAGTGCAACTCATCCAAAACATTAGATTGCAAAATGGGGGATGGAAAGATGAATGAAGGGTTTGTGGAATTCTTTGTTACTGATTGATGGGTTAATAGAGCAGAAGAGGCTGATTCGGCACTATTTACAAATAAAGTTGAGTCACTGGTCAACCTTCAGTTTGCTTGTGAAATAAACTCGAGTGAACAGCGAAAACACTGAATGCTCAGATTTATGGTAACTCTGATCTGTTTTCTCCATCTTGGAGTCATGTCCTTACAGAATATCCTGAAGGGTGAGGAATGGAGCACTTCAAGATTCTAGATTGAATTGAAGAGGTGTTACAAAGAAGTGATGTGGCTCTGTGGACACAAGGTCAAGGATAAATTACCATGAAGACCACGGCTTTGATCTTCAACGCATCAGTGAATGTTCAAAACCACAGTTCTGCACACAGCTGCAGCATCGACGAGTCCTACAAGTATGTCATCTTACCGTTGTGCTACTCGTTAACCTTCTTGCTCAGCCTCGTCCTGAACTCCACCGTCCTTCTCCGCTCCTACCGATGCAAGAGTAGCCGACAATGGAACACTTCGCTCATCTACATGGTCAATCTGGCCTCTACGGATTTAATGTACAGCTTCTCGCTTCCGTTCCTTGTGGCCAGCTACTTAATGCGTGACCATTGGGTTTTCGGGGACTTCATGTGCAGGCTGGTGCGTTTCTTGTTTTACTTCAACCTGTACTGCAGCATCTTCTTCCTTACCTGCATATCCGTCCATCGGTACATGGGCATCTGCCATCCAATCAGAACGATCGCCCTGGAAAGCAAGCGGGCGGTTAGGGCCATCTGCGCCACCGTTTGGGTCATTGTGTTCATACTTACCTGCCCCATCGTCCGGTTTGCCAAAACGGGGGAGGTTTTGAGGAAAACAGGAGGTGGAATGAATGAAGGAGTCGATTCTTGGTCGGAAGGAAGCGGCGATGGTGGAAAAGTTGAGACATATAAGAATTGCTGGGATGATGCGATAGACAGTGAGTTTTCTGAATACGTGCCTTATGGAATTATCCTACACATTTTGGGTTTCTTTTTCCCATTTACCGTCATTGCATGGTGTTACTCACAAGTGGTGAGGACCATCTTCGAGACGATTCATTCCCAGCCACAGGTTCAGGAGGAAGGAGGAATGTGTGGAGCGGTGGATGGAACAAAGAATAGGACGTCCGTGTCTATTTCTGGTTCCCAACATGCACCGTACTTCAACATGCGACGCAAGTCGATCAAAACCATCATCACCATCACTTTGCTCTTCGCGCTTTGCTTTCTGCCCTTCCACATCACACGCACTCTCTTTCTGGTCCTCAAGGAAACGAAGGCTGTCAAGTGCCAAACCATGCGAATGGTTTCCATTTTTTACAAGATCACTCGACCGCTGGCTTCCTGCAACTCGTGGCTGAATGCACTCCTTTATTTCTTAACAGGAGACAATAGCTTAGCCTGCTGCAGACGGGCCAGCGGCAGTCACAACACCCACCTGTTGTGGCCTTTAAAGATTCTCGGAAAACAGAAAGAGGTTGAGGATCAAGAGCAAGGCAATTCACATAAAGCAGATGAATGTCAGGACAGTGACTCCAAATCTTCGGGAATAACATAGAATGCAGACTATACTTTAAATGGTCCATGTTATTTATTATACGCTGATACTACTGAGCGATTTCGCGTATGTTTTATTCTACACTCTCAGAAATAAAGGTACAGGAGCTGTCACTGGGCCAGTAACTTTTCAAAAGGTACATATTTGTACCTCAAGGGTCAATAGTGGTATGCACCTTTTAGGTACCACTGTGGACTATTTGGGTACAAGTATGTACCTTTTAAAAAGGTACGCCGTAGTGACAGCTCCTGTACCTTTATTTCTGAGAATGTAGTATGTGATGAGCAGTTTTATCCACCACCTCTTTAAAAAAATCTGTGTGTGTTTGTTTGTTTCTTGTGAATATTTTTAAAGTAAAAAATAGCACTTCTTAAGAAGTCATGAAATCAAAACTAACCATATGATTTTGTTGGCTCACATTGCTAGTTTTGTGCTGAATAATTCTTCTTTGCATGTCATTAAGAAAAAAGTTTACCCTTCTAATCTTTAATTAAAATCTGAAAATGCACTTCCTGTTTGTTTTCAGTTAAACTATCAGGTGATTTTGAGACAATGGGCATGGCTAACATACTTAATCACGCCCCTTCAACCAGAAGTCAGGTACAGTTAAAAGGCCAAAATAATATACAATAAAAACAGTTACTAATTTTAAAAAAGTTATTTTCCATCCTGTGTCAAATAAAACGATTCAAGAAATTCAAAACTGTCACTGAGCCACGAATTTAAAATTGAACAAGGATCCTTTTTGTTTTTAATGTATAGATCTCAAATGGACACTGTGTGCTTATGCTCATTGTGTTTATGCTTTTATGCTTAAATGGGGTATCCGCACATGGACTGTCTTTCCATTACAAAATTGTCACGTTTAAGATCTGATTTCTTTAAAAATCAGCGATCTTCAATGCCTGTTAGATGTACAATATGAAGTGGGTCTTAGATCGGACAAGAATCTACTGCATTTCGTTGCATTGTACTTGTACATGTGTAATGACAATAAAGTTGAATCTAATCTAAAAATCTAAAAAAAAAAAAAGAAGCACTACATTAAATTCTATTCCACCCGCCATGTCTTTAATATATGACCGTTTATTTCATGGCCTGTTGCTACTGCCGGCGCTAGTGGTTACAACTGTCTTTCATCTTGTTTTATGCTTGAATAACTAAATTAATGCTTAAGTCTATTTAACTGAATGTATTTTAATTACACTACAACATTGATGCTGTAAAAACAACCTTGTGAAATTAAAAATAGTCACAATAAGCTTTCACCGGAGGTTTATTGTTGACTTTAAAACTAGCTGTGCATAGAGCCCATTGATCATTCCAAAGCATTCATCAACTCATAAGAAAACCCTGATAGTTGTGTTTATGGATGATGTTCACGTTGACCGAATAAATGTCATAACTTTAATTTATTTTGTTTCAAATTGGTTCACTTTGTGATACAGTGATAGGAATGCATACACATGCAGTTATAGAGTATTGTTGTGATTAGCTTAAATATGTGACGTATATGCATATATATTTGTTGTATGAACGTTATGATGAGATTAACAAGAAATAACTTTGCTTTGTTAATTATGTTTACCTTAAATACAGTTTTGATAGTAGCACACACTTTCAGATTGTAAACAATGCTTTGGGAGTGTGCTCCTGTATGTTCGGACTATGTTATATGATATAATTATTATCTAATTCCCTTTGACGGAATTCACTAAATATAAAAATTATAAAATAAAACTTTATTTGTTAATTCATTAGGATGATGACTCTACATTCGTTAAAACCATTGTTAACATTAAATTGTGTATTATGACAAACACGAATAACCAATACACAACAAAACATTTATACTTTAACCCAAATTAATAATATATAAATATATAAGTTCACAAAAATGAATGAATTTTCTTGTTTTGTTACTCACCCTCATGTCATCCAAGACTTTTTCTTCAGTAGAACACTGTTGCAAATAAAGCTTGTTTTCTTGTGCAGACCAGTCATTTTACATTAGGTATTAAAGTTATTTTGCTTGAATGTTTTTTCAACTCTCGATGTGCCTGCAGTTCATGCCTTGCATGTTGTAGATGACCAAAGACCACAGTTTAAGCTAAATATATTCTTTAATGTTTTTCCGAAGAAAAAAAAAGGTCACCTACATCTTCTTGGGCTGAGAATAAGTAAATTAACAGCTTTTTGGTGTGAATTATGAACTAACTAACTAAGGCTAATGGATGAAACCATATTATAATCTTTTAAATTCATATTTTTAATATTATATTTGAGCATATAAATTAGATTAGTCAGTTCTAAAGCCAAACCTGGAGCTTATCTAACAAAATAACTAACGATAAATGTGCAAAAACTAGTACACCCAAATGTAAATGTTATAGGAAAATATTAAATTAGAGGAAAAATTAAGAGAAGCAAAAAATGTTTTTTAAATTTTGTTTAAATTTTGTAGGTTTTCTTTTTTGCAATATTTTGCAAGAATTTAATTGTATTATCTTTCCATTTATAAATATAAGCGTATATATAACTTATTAATATTAATAAGCTTAGTATAGCTTATACACATTTTCTAAACAGGAATTCTGTTTAGAAAAAATTGGTGTTTTTGGCTTAGTATGACTGTTTTGCAATCCTAATAAAATTAATTTTAAATATTAGATTTTTTTCTTTCACTATTTGTATTTATTTTCCTTTCACTTAAATTAACCCGAGAATGAAACTCTAGCTATCTTCCCATAAAACCACAATAGCTGGCAGAAGAGCATGCAGTAAACAGCCACATATTCACTTCTCTTGAGAACAGTGCTTTATCTCTTTGTGTACTTCTCCGGTCTGCCAGAGCGAGGCGCTGTTGGACAAGTAGATGCACATTCTCTGTTTGGTTGCGGGAAATATGTTTTATTTTCTAAATTAAGAAATGACCGGAAAACTTTTAATGTATCCCGTGTTTGAGACTGTACCAGGAGACACTATCAGATGAGGATGCATTTACCGACGAAGCCGGCGATCACCTACTTGATCGGGATTGTGTTATGCCATTTTTCCGACTGCTTTACAAACTAGCAGGTAAACTTGAAAAAAATAAGCCGTGGCAGAAAGCTTCACCTTTACCGCGACATTTGACCGAAAAGCCCTGACACTGTATTCTCTGACCACTTTGGTCGTTGTTAATTCGCTGTTTGGGATTTTTGGTGTTTTATTTGCTCCGTTTGGATAAGTTGGATTGGATTAACGTTAAAAAGCCAAAGGACCTTGTCGAGTAAGTGGCTGTTCATTGGAAACAGTGCTGAATATTCACCATTTGTGTTCTGAATACGAAAAAAACTCTCTAATGCACATATATAACGGTGTTTACTTGACGAAATCAACCTGAGGAGTTTATACTAAGTTTGTGCGCGAACCCATAAAGCGGCTGAAGCGCTGAATCTCACAGCTGTTCATTTAAACAACTGTATCAAGCCGACAGGATATTACCTAAAGATTTAGCAAAATGCGATAGACGCGAGAAAGCAGTCCTCTCGGTTAAATTGGATCGGGTATTTTGGCGTGAGGCCTGCTGGTCGGGCTTTTGCCAGGTGATATTTGGAGCTCAGGCCGCGTCAGGGCGCGTGGAGCCCGGCCGAGAGTGACGCGCAGTCTCGGTGTCAGAGGACGAGATATGGAGAGGATGGAGGTGGACCAGTGCGCAGGCGCAGGAGCCCTCCGAAGGTCGAACAGCGCCCCTATGATCACGAACGTCAGGTGAGAGAACTGCACTCATGCTTTGGAGCCGAATATTTAATATTGTGTGAAATAATTGTACACTGTAAAACCCAAAAAGTTAAAGTAACTCAAACTATTTGAGGAAACCAATAACAAAAAAAAAAACATTTAAGTTCAAAAACGAATCCTAATGAGTACTGTAAACTTAATCAATTTTAGTAAATGAAGCAATTTGAGCACAGTAAAACCCAGTAAATTAACTCAAACCAACTGTGTACTGTAAAACCTGGTGTTAAGGCAACTCAAACCGTTTCAGGAAACCGATTGCTAAAAAACATTTGGGTTAAAAACTAATCTATACAAGTACTATGAATGTATATGAGTACTGTGAACTTACTCCATTTAAGTTAAAGTAATGAGGTATTTAATGAGCTTTAATGAACTTTACTTTTAGTAAATTTTGAGTTAACTACACTCATTTGATAAAGTTGACTGTTGGGTTTTACAGAGTAATAATAAGTGGGACCTCATTTTCGCCGAATTGCAATTGTATAATTAAAAGTAGGCATGGCCCGGTATAAGTTTCTGATGGTATGATAACCTTATTTTATTTTTAAATGTCTGGGTAAAAAAAATTTTTCCCATGAAACAACATATTTTAGGAAACATTTCAAATATTTTAAATTAGTAAACATGTCAGACTAAATAACTAAAGTAAATAAAGGACAACGCATAAAAACAAAAACACAAAAAATAAATAACACATGATAAAAAGCTTACATATACCGTAGGAATGGTAGAACAGAAAGTTTTAGCGGCTCTAAAATCTTGACTTTTCCAAACCGCTGTAAACCTTGAATCCGGTTATTGTCCTATGTCTAATTCAAAGTGAGTTTAGAATAGTGAGAAGTAAAGGCCCACACGGAATCCGCGCGCGCAGAATTCCGCAGATTTTTTGCCCATCATTAATTCTGTTTATTTACTTGAGTAAATTTGTGTAAATCTATATTTATTCAGTTTTTAAATAATTTGACAAATGTGAAAATGTTCATCTGATTTATGTACTGTGCAGTTTGTACAGTAATATTTTTCTTTTAGTAGATATATTATTTGAGAGACTTGCTTTGTGTAACCAAATAAAGTGAATCTAGTTGGATTTGCATTTTAAACATTAAATAAAAGTGAAAAGTATATTATTTTTTATTTTACATATTAAGGTTTTAGTTTTGATACTCCCAAAATAATTCCACAGAAATCTGCAAATTTTTACCAAAATTCTCCGCAGAAAAAACAAAAAACTTTTTACAACAGATTCCTTCTGACCCTAGCTATGAGTAAACTCGATTGTTAAATCGTGATGTATGGAATACTGTTTCTGGGTCCAAGCCAGAACATATTCGTTTATGACCATTTTTTGTCGTATCAGGGTGAGACAATCATAGTGTGCACATCAGTCTCTGGGCTTGCTGCATCACAAATACCAAAATTTTAACAATTTATAAAAAAAATTCATTACTTTCAGCCTTTGGATATTAGGCATGGATTTATATATTTGCGATTGTAATTTTCGAAAGTATTACAGCGCTTTGAAAAATTTATTATTACGAATTGACCAAAAAAGTCAGAAATGCAAGATGCTAACCTAAAGATTTATGAGCCAAAGAAGGTGAAATGACAATACAATTCAAACTCCCTCTCTTAAAGGTTTATGAAAGAAAGTCAGCATTATGAGAAATAAATTCACAACTCTGAGGAAATATATTCATAGTCAGAGTTGTGAGCTCATGGGCTTTACATTATTCAATTTATTTTCTTTATTCCATGGCAAAAACAAACTTCTATGGTAAATTACACCACAAAATATTGTAGATAATAAATAATTTGATTCTCTCTTTCTCTCTCTCTTGTTTTTTTTTTTTTTTTTTTTCAAAACAGTGATGGAACAACAGTATTCAGCTCCACTAGTTCAGCTCGGTATCGCCGGAGCAGCGTGTCCGTAAACCCCAGCTGTCCATCCCGGGTGAGTGTTCAAACAGTCTTTCATAGTCAGTTTCAGACATTTAGACCTCAATTACATATTATCTTTGTGTTGCAGACCCTCCCTCTGTCCCCATTCTCTCTGTCATGTGAGAGACCCGAACACAAGAGACAGGTGAGAAATAAAGGAGCGATAATTCTAAATAGAGAGATAACAGAATTAAAATAAATAACAATTAAACTGTCACCTTTTTCCTCTCTCTCAAGAGTTTATATTTCACAATTCTGGCGAGAAAAAAGCCAGAATTCAGAGCAAAACCCTGAATGTACATAAACTCCTTTTTTATTTGCAAATATTGATCACATTTACAAGCTCTCACAGTTCTGACTTTATTTCTCACAATTTCCAAGTTTATTTTGTAATTATGAGGAAAAAGTGGAAATTGCAAGATTTAAATTCTGAATTAAAAAAAAGTTGTAAAAAGTCAGAACTGTAGTATAATAATACTTTTTTTTTTAATTTATTTATGTTTTGTGGGTAGAAACATACTTCTACCTGGAGCACTTGTTAAAAATAAAAATGAATAAAACTTCTTTCAGTCAATATTAGTGATGATATTGTCTACAAATTAATTTGACACATTGAATCATAAACATTTGAATCTAAATATAAAAAAAAAAAGGCAAAATATAAAGTCAGGCAAGCAATGCTTTTCTTCCAGATTGAGAATATGGAGCTGACTTTAAGAGGGAGTTTGCAGAGATTAAGGTATGCACACGTACAAGTTTTGTTATCAAGATACATATTTTCAATCGTTTATTAACAGTGTTTTCCCTTCTTCAAAGTGCCTCATCTGCTGTTCCTCTCCCTCCTGCGAGTCACTGGCATGATCATCTGTCTCCAGTCAGTATTTCACTCTTCTCGTTTTACCTCATCACTTTAATCCATTGTCATTGTGTTAATTCTCTCTCTCTGTTTGTCCCATTACAGGGATTTCATTCCCAAGACAGCGGCGTCACCCCTAATTCCTCACCCAGCCCGACTCGAAGATTTCGAGGGTAAGTTTATGGATTAAACTACATCAGTGGAAAGTATCCTTCAATTGCCAATACTGGCATCATGTTTAGTCAATTGAAAGTGTAATATGTATCTTTTCTGAACAAGAGTTGTTTTTCTTGAACAGAGGATCTGTGAGCTCTGGAGTGAGATGGCCATCAGCTGCACCTTTGAAAAGGAAAGGTGAGGTTATTTTTCCTGTATAACCGGTTTCATGTAAACGTGTTAGTCATTTTTGATTAACAAAATTTAAGTCCCTTATGCTCAGCATGCATTCGTTGATTGTTTTGATAAAAAAAATTAACAGAATTTAAAGTGACTGTTCTTATTGTGTTTAATAATTATTAAAATAATAATTGCTTCCTGTGATGGCAAAGCTTTATTTCCAGCAGCTATTACTCCAGATTTTAGTGGTAGTTTATTATTTTGTAATATCTTTCTAATATATTGAAAATCTCAATTCTAATAGAAGAATATAGACTTTTGGGCAACACGGTGGCTCAGTGGTTAGCACTGTGGCCTCACACCAAGAAGGTCGCTGGTTCCAGTCCCAGCTGGGTCAGTTGGCATTTCTGTGTGGTGTTTGCCTGTTCTCCCTGTTCACGTGGGTTTCCTCCGGGTGCTCCGGTTTCCCCCAAAGTCCAAAAACATATAGTACAGGTGAACTGGGTAAGCTAAATTGTCCGTGGTGTATGAGTGTGAATATGCGTGTATGGATGTTTCCCAGTACTGGGTTGCAGCTGGAAGGGCATCCGCTGCATAAAACATATGCTGGATAAGTTGGTGGTTCATTCTGCTGTGGCGACCCCAAATTAATAAAGGGACTAAGCTGAAAAGAAAATGAATTAATAAAATGAATATAGATGTTTTTACATTACATCCTTTTTATGTCCAATCAATTAAAATCATAAAGCCTGGTCAATTTATTGGTGGGGAAAGATTGATCATGATTAATCACATCCAAAATAAAAGTTTGTTTTGACGTTAAATTTGTGTTTGTGTATGTGTTATATATGTTTATTACATATATGTGATACACACTAAAACATAGAAACACAACTATACAATACAATTCTGTTACATAGATATTTAAATGTACATAAAATTTGTATTTTATATCTATATATAAATAAATAAATGCATTCATGTGTGTATATATATATAATAAATATACACAGCACTCAAAACAAACTTTTATTTTGGATGTGATTAATCTTAAGTAATTTATGTCCAGCACTATTTAAAAGTTTTAAAAAATAAAATGTATTTGTATATAAAGTGGTCCCTTGTTAATCGTGGAAGTTACATTCTAAAAATAACCCGCAAAAGGCGAAATCCGCAAACTAATCAGCTTTATTTTTACAATTATTATAGATGTTTTAAGGCTGTAAAACCCCTCACTACACACTTTATACACTTTTCTTAGACAGTCATCAACATGTTCACACTTTTCTCTCTTGTTTAAACACTACAAAGTTCAACCCTTTGTAGAACAATAAGCCTAGTTTTATAGAATAAAACCAAAGATTAAAACCATTTGATCCTCATTTATTGATTCCGTTATGGCACCCTACAGCAAAGTTACTTCTACCTTCCTTTAGCATGTCCAAAAGTCCAACTTTTTGTGTGATGGTTAGCATCTTCCTCTGCCTTTTGGGTGCTACCACAGGTGCCTTTGACGGTGCAGAATATTTCATCAACACTGTGGAAAACTGGCAAATATACAGTCCAGCACTTCAGAGTCACACTGCTAGAGATCAAAGATTTGTGTAAATTTTGCAAGCTGAACGCATTCTGTACTGTACAGGAGACAAAGCATGGAGGAAAATTGATTGACAATGGTCCACAGCCAATCAGGATGCAGAACACAATACGCTGTAGGAAAAAAGCATGTCAAATTGCATTTAAAACAATCAGCGAAACTGCGAGGTTGTGAAAAGTAAACCACATTATAGCGAGGGATCACTGTATTTGTTTTATTCCAATTTACTTGAAAACATTAAAAATTTAGAAATTATTAGTCTACATTTTTTTGCTGTTTTTGATGAGATTAAAGTAACAATTCTTGGTTCTTTTCAAGCGAGACATGACTAAACACCTCATTTGGACTGATTCAATAACAAGAACTGGCTCATTTGTAAAATATGATTCATTTAAATTCTCCCTTTTATAATAAATATATATTTTCCCTCAGGTGGAGTGGAATCGGACGGTCCACCCAAAAAGCTCTTTGTCGCTGGAGTCACAGACCCTGCTCACATAACTAGTTACACAGTCAGGTGAGTCTTGATGATGCTTAAATAATACACTCAACTGACTCTCATGCCTCATTAATGAATCTCTTCACACGTCCAGTGTTTCCCAGTCAGTGGACTCTTCCTCTGGGACGCCTCCTGCCGGCTCAAACACCCAGGCCCTGTCCCTCTCCCCTCCGCCCCCGTTCACCTCGCACCATCCCAGCATCTGAGCCCAAGTGTTCATCACACTACAGTTCAGGTGTTGTAAAATGAAGACCAAACTTATCCCTGTTTTCCTGCTTTTTTGTCATTGTTGTTGTTGTTCATTTGGTGCTTTAATGCGAGTCTCTCAGCTCAATCACTTCTGAAGGAAAGTCCTCGTAACTGACTTTGATTTCTTTGGAAGTCAAAACGCAATGTTAAGATGATTAAATCTTGACGTATCTGACTACACGGACGATGAAAACTATCATGTAATTTATAGTTCTGTTTCTTCGGTGCCTACAGAGTAGTGTGCTGTATATCTGAAAGAGTATCTGCATTAACACATTGCAACGAAAGCGTTCGGGTTACTGCTGCAACCTGGCCAATCTTGACTCAAAGACCCTTTTTCCTCAGTGTAAAGACCAGTTTTGCTCTTCTTTGCTTTCCTCAAGTTGTGGCAGAACACTTTTTTGTATTTTGGTACATCTTCAGCTTCCATTAACAGGGTCCAACGGTCGTGCAGAATTGAAAACAAAAAGGACTAAGGATAGAAAGTATTAAATGAGTTGACCGCAGAAGTCAATGTTTTGTGTAAATTTGTATAAATATGTGAATAATCGATTATTTTAGGTATTAATTCATTGTTTTTCTCTTGCGTTTACCCCCTGAGGGGTCTGATATCTGTAAATAAGTTTATTTTTCCACACAGATTTGAGCTCAGACTGAACTTTTTAAGTTTGAATGAAATTCTTCAAACCGCCGGAAATGATACCAGCACATTCAGTCAACACTCATCCCCATTTTAATTGCTTAATTAAAATAAGTACTGTATAAACTAGACGACAAAAAAAAATCACGTCTTGAATCCAGTGTTGGAGTAAACTGAAAGCACTTTTAGTGAAAAGTCCACTTCCAAAACTGACCTAGAGACTGAGAATGTATCCTGTCTGTGGCTTAGATGTGTTATCTAGAACCATAACAGTGTCAAATCAGTTAAATGTTTTGTCCTCAATTCCTAAGTGATGATCGTTCGCTATTGAGTTACGTGCTCAAGACATGTCCATGATGTAGGTGACTGTTTTTTCTTCAATAGATCATTTAAGATTTTTAACTGCAACTGCAGTCCTTATAAACGCGAAATTGAAGCCAATGGCTATCAGCACTTTGAGAGTCAAATGACCACTGAAGCCCCTGAAGATACATTGAAGCCTTGTTTACAGAGGCAGTTTGTATCCCAATGTTTCGCTTCACAAGACCCGAAAGCATCTTCAGGAGCCGGTGGTATTAATTGTTTTACCTGTCGGTGTTTCTTTGACCCTTAAAGTGTTTAGAGTCACTGACTAAAATCTTTCATTTTCTACTTAAAAAGTCCCTTGCATCATAGACGGGCTGAGCATGAGCAAATAAACCGCTAATTTCCTTTTTCTTTGGGAGAATTATTACTTTAAAGGGTTACTTCACCTCATTGTGAAAATGGCCATAATTTACTCACTCTCCTGTTGTATCAAACCTGTAAGAAAGTGTCCCTCCTTCATAACAAAAAAAGTTGTTGTTTTTCTTTATGAAATCTGAGATTTCCATCCCTCCATTAAAAGTAATTGAAACTGATGCTTCAAAACAGGTTGAAAAATAAATTATAAAATGAGCAATTGTGTCTCTTCAGAAGACTGGATTTACATTTTTGTATTGATAAGGATTTATTTTTTTGATTTCTTTATGATCATTTTGAAGCCTCAGACTTAAAATAGAGAGAAATGTTTTAGTATATATATCTTACTCTTTGAAGGGAAGATAAACAAAAAGGGTTTGAACAACATACTGATGGGAACTAAGCCTTTAAAGTGATTATTCACTCTAAAATGAACGTTTCCTCAACATTTACTCACACTCAAGTTGTTCTCTACTAAATTCTTATGAATTTCTTTCTTCAGCTGAACATAATACAAGATATTCTAAAGAATGTTGGGAAAAAGCAGCCTTTGACATCAAAATAAACTGTGGAAGTCATTGGAAGTCAGTTTTTTCCCAACAGACCTCAATATATCTTCCTTTGTGTTCAACAGATGAAAGAAACTATTAACAGGTTTGCATTAAATGGAGGATGAGTAAATAACGGCAGAACTTTGATTTTTGGGTGAACTATCCCTTTAAGTCATCAATTATGGACAGAAAACAAGGACTTGTACAATCACAGTTTCAGCGGATTTCATCCTCTTCCTCTTGTACTATTTGCACAGTGTTAGATATCAATGTTGCTGTTACATGAATGGGATCATATTTACTTTATTTTTAACAAATATTTGTATGTTTAAATCCTTTCAGTTGGGAAATTGACATCTTTTTTAAAGTGGAGACGTTTTAAAGTCTGCAATATAAGATGGGTTATTTTTATGTACAAGCATCAGATGCACCACTTCAGGCTTTAATTCTGAGGTTTAAGCTGTATGGATTTTATTAGGCCTGATAAATTATTGTAATTGTTCAAAAACGAAAGGAAAATAAATGTAAATAAAATGACATGCTGCAGTTAATTGAACTGGAAGACCTTCGTAAAATTAAATCTCCACAATACTTTACAGCATTATGCAAATTTCGTTGAGCGCTGCATCTGTTGTGTTATTTATGAATGCTCTGTTTGCAGTATCTTTACAGATATCACTGTAAAGATTCTCAAGTCCAGAAGTCTTTATATCATCAACCGCAGCAGCTCGTCTGCCTCTAAAGCTGTGTACGGGACATTTAAAGCCCTTTTTCTGTTTCCATATTCATATATCAAGAGGAGTGCGGCTTGTTCTTCGAAATGACGCCATTGCCTTTTCCTTGTAGTTTTTCATTCAGCAAAGACGATGCCTTACAGGTTTTGAGTCTTGAAGTTTGAATTCCAAAGTTACTTGCACTGTTTCCAATGTTCCTTGAGATTTCAAAGATTAAAAACCAATGTTCATGGCTCTTTAAAAGTGATGTGCAATATGCAATTTAGTTGCTGGAATTGGTGTTCGTCACGTTCACGGGGATAATCAGTTGTGTGTGTTTATCAAAAACCCGAACAGAAGACTTGAGAGCAGTTTGTTCTCAATCAGTTGTATAATCAGCTATTTTTATTCATGTTTTCCTACATTATGTACCATATTTCTTTGTTTAGATTTGCCATACACTTCCTGTAAGATCTGTGCGTCAGAGATGTCTTCTGAGCACTGGTAATAAATGGATTGTGAGCGCACGGTAAATCATTGTAAATGCCAAAGCCGACAGACTCTGTTTAAGTTGTAAATATATTCTGAAAGCCAGAAAAATTCAAGTGAAAGATGGATTATTTTTTGGCGCATTGGTAGCAAAAGTACATTTATTACCCCGAGATGAATGTCCAATTATCAGAGAAGGAATATCATTTAGCATAAAATGAAATGTATATTATACCATATATTCTTATTATGAAGAAGATCATAATAAAAACTCATTTTACTGACTTGTGTTTTGTCTTTCTGTGCTGAAGATTAAAGGTGCAGTAGGTGATTGTCTTCAGAAATATTTATTCTTGTGCTGGTTGAAAGTTTCCTCACATTCCAATAGTAATGATTAAAGTAAGTGATCTAAATGTATTTATAAGTATTTTTATATTCTGGGTAAGGCATGAAACTAAATGTTTACTAAATTTGTCACGGCGACTATTCGCATAATTCTGACAAACAGCCCAAACGGTCAACAAATGTAGATTTGTACATCTGTGCAGCCAATCATGCAGATCTGCCGTTTGCACGTGCACCGCGTTCACATGCACATGAGAGAGAGAGAGAGTGTGGCATTGGTAAAAACGAATGTTGAATCTAAACTTTACAAATCCTGAATCAATATTGGAGTTATTTTCGGATGCTGGAGGAAAGATGAAACCATGGCTGAAGTATTTCTTTTAGGCTGCATTTGCACTGCAGATCTTGATGGTCAAATCTGATTTTTTGACTATATCTGATTTTTAGACGACCCGCTTACATAATTTTTTAAACATGACTCATATTCGACTGTCTGCATTTACACAGCAAAGATGCAATGACTAGGAAAAAAAAGAGCAGGCGCTGACTGACAGCTGATAATAAAAGAGCGCTCTTTTTTTTCTGTTCTTGTATTTAATCTATTTGCAGAGTTTCAATTTTTACTATTCTATTTGACAAGTTGTTTTGCTATAGTTTATAACAGAAAAGTTCTCATTTGGCCATCTTCTTTAAATCTAGGCCTTTTTTTAAACCAGTAAGCATCTTAATGTTTACATTTTTTACGTGGCGGATGTGACGCTCTCTCTCTCTCTTGTTAACATGTGTAAATTCTTGTGCTACATGACAATATAAAAGCCTCTTTATCCCTCATGTATGAGGTTTAAGTTTTGCAAAATGAAAAACTGAAATTAAATGAAATCAGACATGACGTCATTCGCTATGGTTTTTAATGATGCGCGACTCGCATTGGCAGTTGAAAATTCGATCTACCTGCTTACTCTGCAGAAACAAACACTGAAATACAATGTAAGTATGGCTTAGTAATTAGTGTAATATCTGCACCCTGCAGGCCAATCACTAAGCATACAGTAGTTGCTTTAGGACAAAGCATGTGAGAGAGTGAGACCAGCGATCATTGGATGCATGAAATATTGCACATGATGACAAGTTTTGCTTGCTACACAACTGAAAACGTGCTAGATTTAATACAGTTTCTTTCAGAATTGTTGTATTAAAAAGTATTATAAAGTTTTCTAACTGGCCAATGACATGATCTAGTGGGTTGTCTACTGTTATCTTTAGAATGTGCATTCATGATTTCAGTAGGCATGGATTTGGATGGCAGGGATGAGATTGTGTTTCAATGATGTTATGCTAACCGGTGAGCATTTTGGCAGATCACCTACTGCACCTTTATTACAAAAGTGAAATTTAAACAGCCATGTCTGGTGTTTACAGTCCAAATGACTTGTTTAATTATATGTACTGTTAAAAATAAAATATTTACACATACAATAGGAGCTGCACCTAATTATGGAAACCTGTTTCTACCACAAAATGAAAGTAAAAGGTATTTGCGACTTCTTGTTTTCGGTTTTGAGACATCCAGACAGACGTAACTGCTCAATTGCAAATAAACAGTTTTTATTCAAATGTTGAATTTGTATAAACTTTATCATTAGTCATTTTACTTTCTTCAGAATTGCATGAAATGTTTGAGTTTATATATTGTTATTCTGTAAAAATAAAGTCATAATTATGAAAAATAAACTAAACTTTAAATAGCTACACGTAAACTCGGAATGACAAGAAATGAAGTTATTTAAGGAAAAAAAGACAGAATTGCTAGAAATAAAATAGCATTTTGAGAAATCCTATAAAGAAAATAAGAATTAAAGCTGGAAATAAAATAGCAATTTTGAGGAAAAGGTCAAGAAAGTTTCCATGAAATCAAAACAGAGTGAACTAAAGTCAATTTTATGACAATATAACATAATTTGCTGATTAAAAGTCGCAGTTACAATTTCTATTTGTGTGACAAAAACAGGCTTCCATACCTAACATACAATGGCAGTGACAGAAAATAGTAAAGAAGATTCTTCAACTATTTCAGATATCATGCTGCCACTATTTCATCACAATCAGCGTCTCATTTCACTTCACAAAGCTTTACTTTAGCCAAAGGGGCCTATTAAAATACAAAAAAAAAACATTATTTAAAAAACAAAAAACACTATTTTTAGTCCTTTGACCCCTGCATCACTGTCCTGTAAAACTGTGGGTAAAATCAATCAAACAACATGAATAATAATAGACACAAAACCATAATAATAATAATGATTTCTGCTGCATAATGGGAAGTAAGGATGCATTAAATACTTCATTGAGTTTGAGACGGGAAGAGAAGCTAGTGATGCAGTTCAGGCTTGGTCTGATGCGGTTTGGACCGGGTGTAACAGGTGAAGAGCGATGATCAAACTGTGCAGTCATTGATCATGTTTGCCCCCCTTTGCCCTGAATCTCACTTTGACTGAAAGATCATTGAAGGTCAGCGGGACAGCAGAGGCAGATCACTGGAGTTCATTATAAGACTGGAGTCCAAATTCAAGCTCTCTGTCGAAAGAAAAAAAACAAGCTTATTAACAGCAGTCAGCAAACTTTTATATATATAACAGATTTTAAATGTAAAAAATAATAATAATAATTTTAGCTATAGCCATTATGCTGTAACAAACCTGTATCTTCTATGAAAATATTGGTCACACTTTACAATAAGGTTCATTAGTTAATGTTAATTAATGCATTTACTAACATGAACAAACAATGAACAATACACTTACTGCTGTATTTGTTCATGTTAGTTAACGTTAGTTAATGAAAATACAGTAGTTCATTGTTAGTTCATGGTAACTCATGGTGCATTAACTAATGTTAAGAAGCACGAACTTGGATGTTAATAATGCATTAGTAAATGTTCAATTATGATTCATAAATGCTGCAATATTTTCTGACTGGTGAGATGCTTGTAGGACAAGACTGTAATTTAGGCCCCTGGATGTCGATTATGCTGTCTCTTTATTCATTTGATGTGAATTAATCCAGAACCTTATACAGAATTAAACATGAAAATAGTTAATCTTCATACACTGTAAAATAATTAAATGACAAAGTCAAGACAACATTTTTTATTTTGCTTTAATTTATTTTAAAAAGTTAATCAGGTTTCACATATCTTTTAAAGTTATGCAACTTAATATTTAACTTAATATTATATAAATATAAGGTCAGTTTGATTGATGTAAGTTGAGATGACTAAAAATGTTATTTAGATTCAACTCTGATTTAGAGTGTACATTTAATTTGTTAGTGAATGCGAATGTCTCTGTTTTGTTAAAAATAAATAATTATGCGATAACTGCATAACTTATAATAGTTATGTTTTTTCCATTTTAAAATGGTACTCTAAAAAACAGGGTTCCACACAATTGTCCCAACACAAATCAATTAAGTTTATATAACAAATTGAAGTGGATTGAAGTCCCAAAAAAATCTCAAGAATTGTGTTTCAGCTCATTTTAAATATTTAGTTTAAACAAACAGCAAACTTTTTTTAAGTGTAAAATCATTAGCTTGTGTTATTAGATAGAAAGTGAGCAATTTTCTTTAATTGTAAACGTTGAAGAATGACTTAATGCCTGTTGCAACAATTGCTATTAATCATTCTAATAATCGTCAATATGATCATTTGTGGCAGAACTAAATAACTGTGGCTAAAACTACAGAAGCTTGTTTTAGGCCTTTCAAAATGTAATTATTTTTGTATGATACATTGAGAGGCAGCTATAGGTGAATTGGGTAGGCTAAATTGTCTATAGTGTATGTGTGTGAATGAGAGTGTATAAATGTTTCCCAGTGATGGGTTGCAGCTGGAAGAGCATCCGCTGCGTAAAACATATGCTGGATAATTTGGCTGTTCATTCCGCTTTGGCGGCCCCGGATTAATACGGGACTAAATCGAAAAGAAAATGAATGAATTATTTATTGCACCAAAATATATTACGATAAACGATATTATTGTCATTTTAGGACTATTTTATTTAACTCATTATGCAATGCCAGAATGACAAGATAAGTCCACTCTTCCAAAGAACACATCATATTTTATTCTTAAGAATATTTTGTTTAATTATAGTCATTTTAGCAATTGAATAACTAGACATTGGAATCAGAATGTGAAAATGTATATCCTAAACAAGTAAATAATAATAAATATTGACAAAAAAGTGCCAGGTAAAAAGTAACAGTGGCTGAGATATCTGCTACCAGAACTATTTTAAGTTGTCAGACACCCACATGATGGCTATAGACTATAGTAATTTATAGTAAATACTAGTGTTTTTTAACCAAACTGACACCTCTAAAAGAAATAGAGATGTCGCACAATCAGCTAATATGTTGCTAGAATTGGTTTTTGTATTGCATCACCAAAAATGATAGAGGTCATCATGTCTATGTATTGTGCGATAAGTTAATATTTTGATTATTGTGACAAGCCTAGCTTGTTTCCACCACAGAGTAATAAAATTTAAGAGATTATGGTGACTATCTCTCTGTTGTGATTATTGTGACTTTTTCCCTCTCAGGAATGTATTGTCTATGTGCAAGATTTCCTAAAATTTAAATATTCACAAGTTTATATCTTGTTGTCATTTTTTTCCAAGTTTATTAGTGACATCACCTGGAAACTTAAAAATAAAGAGACTATAATCTCAACTTGCAATGAAGAGATTGAAACTCAATATTTCGTCTTTTTTTATCATCATTCTGAATATGCATCTAAGAATTGTGATTTAAAAAAAGATACAAATTTAATTCCACAGCATTGTGATAAAAAGGGTACCGCATTATTTACACGTTTCAAGTACCTAACATACAAATTACAAAGAATTATGCATAATTACAAGCAACTAACCCAAAACCTAGCCCTCATTCTAACACTAGACATAATGTATGTTATTCAATATCGCTCAGTATTTAAATTAATAGGTACACTTTAAGAGGACACTTTAAAATAAATTGTAACAGAAAAAAATGTCACTCTTAATTTAATTTTAATTGTGGTTTGAAATGACATAAATATGAGTGACATGTATAGAAAAATAACCACTTGCACTTAAATTGTGACTCACCTTGGTCAAAGTTTGGTTTTTTGTTGGACCCCTCTCCAAGCCCCTCAATATCCACCAAATCACTGTTCACATCCGAGTCATTCAGAGCACTCAGAGTCACATCTGATGACACAGAGCCAAACTATGAGCATCACTACACTGACATTATTAATGACAATTCAGTTCATGTATTATCCATGTCACCTGATGGTTTAGGGTTCTTTATTGCTGGTTGTAAAGACGAGGAGCTCTGCAGTCCGGTTGACACGACGACTTGTGAAGTGGGCACAGTGATGACGGTGGGGGCCACTGATGCAGGAGGCGCTGGAAGAGACACTGTGGTTTTCTTCATGGTTTTCTTAGGTGACTCTGCAGTAAGAGGAACCCTGCTGTCCTCGTACAGCTTCCTTTTCACTGTGGTCTTAATCTGGGCTCTGTGACATGATTGAGGGACATTATTCCTGATTTAATTTCAAGATTTACTAAGGCATTATTAAAAAAACATACAAAGTTGTGTTTGATGACATTAATTAGTTACTGCACAGTGAGAACTAACAATGAACGACTTAAGTATCATTATTAAAGATGAATAGATACTGTATTAAATGTGCTGTTCATTTTTTTTATGTCAAGAGATGTTAACATTCAATAATGGAATCCTACTTTAAAGTGTGGCCCTTTTTTATAAGACACATTTAATATTGCTCATGGTTTATTGACCTTATTCTAAAATGCGTGCGCCTGTTTTCGCGATTGTCTTAGAACTTCCGTTTCAGTCGCCTATGGGAGAAATAACAAGGAATAATAAACGGCAAAAAACGATAAAATAAAAGTCAAACTACTTGCTCTACAAACAAATGTTTGCATGACTATACAGACCAAGTAGAATAATATAACAAGGAAATATCAGTTTACAACATCAAACAGCGAAACGAGCTGTTTTTAATGTCTAAAAATGAATGGAAGTGAATGAGACCGGAAGTCTCGTGCCAAAAAGATTCAAATGGCAGCGCCCGCTTGTCTGCGGAGAATAAGGTCAATAAGAAAAAAAAAATATTTATATATAATATTTCCCTCACAAAGCATTTAAAATCTACGTCATTTTCACATTACTGCTCAGTTTGGATCATCATTTTGAAAACATGTTTTTATACATTGGATCTCTTTAATATGGGAATGTGAAACCTTTCAGAGTTTGTACTGTTACCATGTTATCACAGAATTCAGCCCTTTTTTTAAATTATTACAATTTGAGAAATTCTTAAAACATTTCTAATCACATTTCTTTGTTTGTGTAACTGACGATTGCTCAAACACAGTCCAAATTTATCCCACATGCAAGTTTATTTCTAACAAAACAACACAAAAAAAAATACTCTTTACTAAATGACTTCACTTTCAGATTAAAAAAAATAAATAAACAATCAGTATTTTATGTTGGACTGAAATCAGGGTGTCTTCCATTCATTTCATATCCGTTTTCAAACAAAAAAATTCAACATTTAGTTTTTTTTCTTTTGCACACAAAACAAATTTTATCTCTAATTTTCATTTTTCGGCTTAAGGTATGACTTTAAAATCACTATACACATGTAGGCGGTGCTGAAACGCCCATTTTCTTCTGATTGGCCAACCAAATATGAGCTTGTGACATCGCCCTCAAAATAATAGTCCTATATATATATATATATATCCTTATATTAAAATAGGAGAAATAAAATAAAAACTAATGGTACCCTTTATTATATCCCCAGGGCCCAATGTGTTCTTATTCTGGTCCTGCTAACAACTATTAAAAAACTAAACAATAAAAAAACATTAAGTAAACAATATAAGTTTTGGCTATCTTTGCTTAGCATCAGGTGCACAGCAGTAAGAAGTTTGGCAGCGAACTATAGGCATATTATTATTATTATTCATTCACTCATTTTCTTTTCGGCTTAGTCCCTTTATATTATTATTGTTATTATATTATCATTATTATAAGCCTTGCTTAGAAGCAGTCATGCATACTAGGTTCTGCTCGGAAATGGCTATCTTTGCTCAGCATTAGGTGCACAGCAGCAAGACCTTTGGCAGCAAACTATGATCTTATTTTATTGACAAATGTGTAATAATACTGCTAATTTTTACGTTTTTATTTATTCTTGCATACGCAATAAATGTAAGCCTGCTAACTGATCAAATGATAGAAAACGTAAACTTAGTTTATATATATATATATATATATATATATATATATATATATGATTAAATAATAATAATTAAAAACCTGGGTGCTGGTCTGCAGAAGACTTTTATTTTATGGGCGACGTCACAAGCTCAGATTTGGTTGGCCAATCTGAGAAAATTGGGGTTTCAGCACCGCCTACATGTGTGTAATGAATTTTAAAGTCATTTATTCGTTTTCCTACCCTAAACCAAAAAAATTTAAATTGAGCCAAAATTTATTTTTTCCCCGTTTTTTTTATTTATTTGAAAACAGATAAAGAATGGATGGAAGATACCCTGAGATACCCACACACACACATATATATATATATATATATATATATATATATATATATATATATATATATATATATATATATATATATATATATATATATATATAAAATATATATATATATATATATATATATGTAAAATTCTAAAAATGAATAAAGTTCATTGTTACGGTCTTAGTTGGAGTTTTGTTCTTCTTGAACACTTACACTGTTCGCTCCTTTATGACTGAGCTAATGCTGTTTAGATCTTCCCCAAAACGGCGAACAGCAGACCGCAGCATCTCAATCTCTGTGTCTGTCCATTTGGCTCTGAGAGAAGGGAAAATGAGTCAGTTATACAACATATATTTGACTTCATTAAGATCAGTTTCGGGGGGAAAGTAACATATTACAGGTAACTAAATATGGTAGTTAATTACTTTCTAAAGACAGTAATGTGAAAGTTAATATGTCATAAAAGTTTTACTCACAGTTTTGAGTACATATTTTGCTATTTAGATTTTCTTTTACACGGACTCAAGTTTAAGCAGTTTTAATCGATGTGAAATTCCAAGCACACAACTTGCAATTCTGACATTCTCACTATTTCAAGTTTAAGCAATTATACATTTATTAAAATTTAGTTCATATTTTGTAGATTTGTCTTTATTGCTTGCACTTCTAAGTTAATGTATCATAATTCTGAGTTCTTATATCTTGCAATTCTGCACAATTTTGTTTATTTTAAGCTTATTACAATTCCAAGCACACATCTTACTAACTTTTCCCCCACACAAGTTTAAATCTCACTGATTACATATCTTTCTATTCAGATTTCATTTTACACAGTTTCTAAGTTTATACATCTATCATTTTGTAACTCTCAATTCTTGTTGTTTTCTTAGAATGGTGATAAAAAGTCGTAAATACATGTTTTACTATTCCGTATGAGAAACTAGCTTCCGTACAGCTCTAGCTAGGACATGTATCAAACCAAAGTGTGTGAAACTGTGTAGTTGCTTTTGAACAGAAAGATGGTTAGCTGAGCATCTTACCCCGCAGGTGAAGAGTCCGCCACTGGATGCAGCTGCATGGTCAGCTCACCCAGTTTGGAGAAAGCAGCGCCTGCAGCCGAGAAGATCTCGCCCACCTAATTGACAAGTATTTCTGCTTTTTATTTATCCGTCACTGAAGAATATGAATAATAATGTACAAAGATGCTAATGTTTACCTTTGTGGAAGCTGAAGTCATGCTGGAGTGATGAGCAGAAATAAACTGAACTGACACAAATACAAGAACAAATCCCAACGACTCCAAAAGACGAAAGTATCAAAGCGAGTTAAAATGACTGCCGCAGTCATTCATTGACCTTCCGCATTAAAAATAACTCTGTTTTAATTCTGTTTTTAATAAAACGCCTCTATATTCGGCATGAAAGCAACATAATTGTTCGAAGTAAAAACTCCCAGAGTACAATGCGCTTCAAAAATCGCCGTGTAATTGGTCAATGCATAGCCAATGAAAAGACCGCACACGATCTGCGCAACATGCCTACGAAAATAGCCGAGCATCGCCGAATTATCTCACGGAACCAGCCGAGCAATCCCGAGAGTCGCCAATACACATCCCGTCGTCGATGAAGAAAGAGGCAGGCTGTCATCCCGATTAGATGTAGCATCCTTCTCCCAGTTTTTGAGAGGAAGAATCTGTGGACGATTTCGGATAAAATGCCGTCGCTCTTATTCTGTGGGCCCAAATTGGCCGCCTGCGGGATCGTGTTGAGCGTCTGGGGTGTTATTATGCTGGTAAGGATTACAGTCTTCGTGACATTGCATGCTAGCTCTTACGTTAGCTTACGTTAATGGCATTAACCCCAATCGACGGGAACACCAGATAATAGTAAATATTCGTGTATTTAAAAAGTACACAGATAAATAAATGCAGATATTTGTTACACATTTGCATAAATACATATTTATCAGCAATCTGCATCATAGGAAAGCACTTCGAAGTATGTAACAGCAGGTGCTGAAATTATAGGATGTAGAGGCCTTGGCTTGACAATTTTTTTCTCATCGTATGTGTCATTCCATAATTAGTTCCACTTATTATTAATATTTATAGCAACCTTTGTTATTGTGTCTTTATTTCAGTCGATGCTGGGGATCTTCTTTAGTGCAAAATCAGCTGTTCTGATCGAAGATGTTCCATTTACTGAGGAAGACATTCGTAATGAGTAAGTTATTCTACAGAAAACAGAATATATATATATATATATATATATATATATATATATATATATATATATATATATATATATATATATATATATAAATGCTGCCATGTTCCAGAAAACACATAACAGAAAGTACTAAGACAGTTGACATTTTTGAGGCCAATAAGATTTTTGTGTTCCAGCAAGGACACGTATTTACAATAATTTTCTTTTAAACATATTAATCAGATGATTAAAAATGTAGCGTGGTTTCCATAATATTAAGTAGCAACATTGTTTGTTCAGCTTTGATAATAACATTACATGTTTCCTGTGCACCAAATCATCATATAAGAATAATGTATTTTTAAGTTTGTATGAAACTGAAGACTGCTAACAATTCAGCTTCACTTTTACTGAAACAAATCACATTTTGTAATAAATCATATATATTAAAAAACAAAAATTGTCATAGATTGTAATAAATATTAGAGTAAGTTGCATGCATGGAACTGGCAGAGCGGGTTTACTGTTTGACTTGTTTAGTGAGCCTAATCATCTGAGCAAAACTATTTTTGTATGTATGCTAAGCAGAACGCTTGCACACATTTGATTGGCTACACACTGACCAATCACAAGCCGATTTTTAAAGCAAATGTAATTTTTTACTAATATATCAGGTTAACGTTGTTAGATTTAATAAATAGAGCATCATCTTTAAATCCGAAGGTCACTGAATGTCTTTAGCTGTGTTAAATAAGTTTGTGAGCTGATAATATTACATTGCTGCATGCATATGTTAACTTGTTAAACTGTTATTTGTTCTCAACAGCAAGGATCCACCGCAGATAATTTACGGACTCTACAACCAAGTCGGCATCAACTGTTTCATAGCCGCTGCCATCTATGTTGGTGTTGGCGCAGTATCTCTGTGTCAGGTTCGCCTTAACAAGCGCCAAGAGTACATGGTCACATAAACAAATGTGAATTCATCTCCTGATATTCCTAATTATTTATATATAAAAGACTACTCAACAATCTAGGAGAGAAATGGATCTATTTGGCAGTTCAGCTTTGTCTCAAAAGTTAAATAATTAAAATACTAATACTGTAAATGGATACAAAGCGAAATGATTCTTTAAAACATACAACAAATATGCACAAATACATGCTGAGTGCATAAATACATGATGTTTTGTTAGATTAACTACACATTCTCTATAATTTAAATACACAAAAATAGTTTTGCCTGTACTGTTGTAAAAAAAAAAAAAAATTAAGACACTATTAAATACTATGGGTCCAGATGATAGAAGCTGGTGTTCATGTAGGAATTGTGTGTGTGTGTGTGTGCGCGTGTGTGTGTGGTGCACTATTTTCTTTTTGAATTGCAATATTTAAATGTTTGTGTGGTAATATAAATGTCTGTTACTTTATTGACCTCGCAACCTTTGTGCTGTATACTTGGCATTATTATGACAATAAAAGAGAACTGAGAATCTTATGCTCCCTTCAATAAATTGCTGGTGAAAAACAAATATTTTATTGTTCTTTAAGAAAAAACTAGTATAAAATCTATACCATGCTACGATGTGTAACAAACATGACAAAAGTTATGATGCTATATTACAACAAAGAATGATTTAAATAAATCACAGGGTCTGTCATACAGGGTTATCCTTTAGATTGTGAAAAATAAAAAGTGTTTGTTGGCTTGTCCTGAATGTCGGCTGCCAAATATTACAAAACAACAGTCCATCATCTCCATCCATCATCTCGTTTTTATGTCTGTGGGTCAAGCATCATCTCACAGGTGCGTCCCAGCTCTCCCAGCTTGACACGGGCATATTCTGCACGGTTTAGTGCCATCTGACAGTCCTTTCTGGCTGAGTATGTTGATCCCTCATGAGGCTGACCTGTAGCCACCTTCAAAAAATAAAAATAAAAAAGGAGAGGAAGATTTGTTACTTTATATGATAGATAGATAGATAGATAGATAGATAGATAGATAGATAGATAGATAGATAGATAGATAGATAGATAGATAGATAGATAGATAGATACTCACTTGTGTTAGATATCGTATCTGTGAACTCAGTTCACTCTCGACTCTGTTGATGGAGGTCTGGAACTGATTCAGCTGTCGGTCTAATAAACTGGCATTGGCCTTCTCTTTGGAAAGCTCCAACACAATAGTTCCTGAAAGACAGATTATTAATACTCAATTTATATATTAGATTAAAATGTACAAAATGAACACGGAAAAGTTGTAACAATAGGGTTGTGGTTTTGTAACTCAACTACGGTAAACACATATTCACCATTGTTTTGCTTGATGAAGCATAGTTGAATCACTGTTTTTAGGAAAAATGTGGGTATGCAAATGGTAAACAATATACCACAATACACCGATACACGTTTACTTTAATAGAGCGATTGTTAATTTTCATAGGGGGTAAATTGGTAAATTTATAAGCAACAAAACCCATAAAAAAACAAAATGTTCCTTAATTAGTTATCTGGTGGACTCTCTGTCTGGCCCGGTTAGAAAAGAATGTCTTTTACGGTCACTGTAGATGTATACAATGTACAATATATACATGTACGATGAGATTGAGTGTGTTACTTCCCCCGAGATGAAACAAAGGCTCAAGTCGTTCTTTATTTTAACTGACATTTATTCTGACACCAGTCTGTAGCTAGCCTTGCATCTCTTTTTGTCCCAACAATGCAGTCAGAACTACGAAAAGAAATACATAAACTTAAATGAACCCTTTAAAGGTGATGTTTGCACATAATGATCAAAAAAATACATACAACCAATAAATAAAGTGCACATTCAACACGTGAAGAAATACACATAAATTAATGTTCACTAACGGCAAAACCATTAACACGATACGACACACACCTCACTGACCTCTCTAACTCGAGAGGAATAAACTTGAGGGGTTACAGATTCTCTTTAACAAAATGTAACTATTTTGCATTTCTTACAGATGTAATCCCTACAAGCGTGTTATTAGAGCAGCACCTCATGTGGCTGTACTACTTGTAGTGCATCAGAAAAAGATATCTTGATTGCAACAAAATAATTCCCAAGCTAAAACAAAAAAAGAATTGGGTTCCTTTTTTATAGTTTAAGTTGACTATTTTAAAATTAATTGACATATATTAACAACAAATATAGATTACTTATGTATTCTAATGATTACTCTAGGGGTTCACGGGACAATGAATTGGGGGGGGGGGGGGGGGTCGCCTGGTGATTTCCAAAAATCTATTTATTATTATTAAACCATAAGAATTACCTATTTATTTTATCCATAACCTACAGAATAGAAAAAAAATAGTCGTTTATAGTAACTATATACTACTGTATGTAGTTACTATAGTAGCTTATAGTTACTAGTTCTATTGGATTGCAACCCCTGGGGTAATCACATTATATTAAAGACACAGCAATAGTGTCAGATGCAGCAGATTGATTTTATAACAACAGGTTAAACTTTCTGGCACATTTACAGCACTGACATGCAAAAAACAAATTCAACGCAGAATAGCCTTGGGTCTATTGGTGTGTATGCGCCATTGCATGCAAGGTTTCTGTATTTATAACTACCTCAGAAAAGGGGCTCGCGAGTCACTGGCCTTGTTATATGGGGGGGCAGGCTGAAAAGTTTGGGAACCCCTGGTGTATATTATAGTCTGTCATATGTAAGGATTGCCTCTGACAGCAGCTACAGACTGCATCTTACTACTCAGTGCAAACGAAGATATATCCTTTCAATACAGATCACATTAAACAACAAGTTACAGTACAAATAACTGCTGACGATAAACAGTAGTGCAAAATAGGCGGGTAGGGTGAGGTGGAGTAAACACATCTGAGGTAGAAGGGAAGATATAAACAAGATGTACTATGTAAATTTAAGATGATAAACAAATATTTGTGAAAAATAGGAGATGAGAGGGGGGGTAGAGGGAGGTGGAGTAAACAATTCTGAGGTTGAATGAGAGATGTATACAAGATGTCTATAATTTGATGTGTATTGCACAAAGTCCAGTTCATGTGTGTGCATGCATGGGGGTAGTGCATGTGTGAATTGAAGATGGTAAAGACTTCACTGAGTTAAAATTGGTTTTATATTCACACATTTGTTCAGTTACAACTTGTAAAAAGGGTAAAGCTGTTTTTTTATTCGCACATTCAGACTTTCCCCTTAATAATATAATTTCATAAAAGTATTATTTGCAAACTCTAAATAGGGAAATCATATTAACAGCCAATGACTATAAAAGTACAACATTGTTCACAGTCAAATAAACAGTGTTAATGTTGTTTTCAAGTCACACTTGCATGCTAATTCCGATCGAATATACAAATTTACATGGTTAACAATATAGTGACTTCTAAATGAATGAATGTGTGAATATAAAACCAACTTTACCTCTATACAACTTGTAACATGCTCCCTTTATTGTTAACCATGGTACTTTAAATATTCGGTCTGAAATCACATGCAAATATGACTTCAAAACAACATTAGCACTATTTGATCGACTTTGAACAATGTACTTTGTTAGTCATTGGCTGCTAATATGATTTCCCTATTTAGAATTTGCAAAGAGTACTTTTCTGAAACTATATTAATAAGGAAAAAGTCTGAATGTGTGAACAACGTGGATTTCCTTTTATGTTAAGCTAAATACAACGTATCCAGACTTGTTTTTGATGATATCAATGAACAAGTGCAGCAAAAATCAACAATTCTGAATTTAAAGCACTCAATGAATATTGATTTTCTTATCCTCTTTGAAACGTCAAAGTTTTAATTGCGCAATGTTTCTGGGGGTACAGATTACGTTTTAGATTATCAAAAATATTGTGGTGTACCAAAAACGAAAGAGTTTGTCGTGGGTTTGGGACAGCATTAGGATTAATAATCCGTAACGTACGTTACATTTCATTTTTATAAAACCTATAACATAATAAGTCAATGCATACATGATGTGACACAAACCTGCGCTCTGCAGCACTAAAGCAATCTCCTTTTCCACATCTTCTAGTGCTCTTAGTCTGTCATTAGCCATTCCCTTCACAAATCTACAACAAAAAGAAGCATAACACGTATGTAAAAAGTGTCTAAACAACTTGCCTTCAAACAACTTACAAGGTAGCCAACAGCAAACACGCGTTAGCTATACAGTGATAGTATAAACACCAAATAACCATTAAACGTAATGTACGAACATGTAAAACAACGTAAGGCTACGTACATGTACAATAACACACTTATCGATAAATTCGACGAGCTACACAAAGCACTTTCCGTATGTGGCGAACGAAGGACTACGGAAGCCGCAAAAGAACAAAATAATCGCAACGCGAAGTGGACTGGATGGCTTTCTGGGTAAAGTTTAACTAGTGATTAAAGCGATTTGCGCTTCAGCTAGAGCAAGCCTGTCACATACATCAATTGCCCATGGTATTTCGTGCCGTTCAACGTGAAAACACTGTAATAATACAATACGAGAGAGGGAAATAGGTGGATTTTTTGAGACCATGGAGTCTTGGAAGAGTCACGTGCGCGTAGAGCTGTTTCACAGAGACTGCAGGCAGAAAGATCCGTTCTCTGGCCTCTTCCACAAAGGTGAGTTTTTAGTAAAGCTGTAGTCTAATGGATAGAAACAGAGTAAGTGTGCTCTTATTGAGTAATGAATAATGGGTTAACTATACTTTGGCAGTGTCCAAGCTGGAGGAGATGTTGGACTTTCATGTTAAACTCTGGCAAGGCATGGACACAAACAGGTAGGAAACTGTCTGAATTTTTATTTTATTTATTCATTAGCTTATAGCAGTTACCATTTTCCATTCTTTGCATTTTATGTTTTACTGTATGTTATTTTTGACAGTTCTGAAGAAAATACTGGATCTAGATGTCCTGATGAAGGTGGGACGCTCTATTTGAGAGTGAATGAGATGGAACTTTTTAATCAACAGGTGAGCAAAATATTCCTATCAATAGATATCACTGATACAACTATCTTGTCGAACAAATTTTCGTTTTATTTTCCTTCAAGTTTAAATATTTTTTTATGCACCGTTTAATTGTTTTATCTCAACTAAAATGTTTTACTTTGCTTTTTCAGTTTTTGAACTAATTATTTAATTTTTAAAAAAATGCAAGTGATAAAAATGAAGGGTACTACAGCTTTAAGTTTAGTATAAAGAGTCTTGTTTAATTGTATTTTTATCTGTGCAAAAGAAAATTACTGTTTATACAATTTTAACATAAGAAATCCACTAAAATGTCATTCGCTGTATCAAATTTATTTTATAAATGTTTATATTTATTAAGCTGTAGATTTATATACCAAAACTATTATATCTGTAATAATTTTAATTGAACGGGTTTACTCCCTTTTTTTAAGTAGAGTCACAACTAATCGATTTTACCGTGTTGGTTTAAACTATTGTTTGCAACACATTTAAATAAATGAAAATATAAAAGTTTAGTATGATCATTTATTCTTTCAGATAATAATAATTTCAGGTCAGAACAAACATGTCATTTCATTTTTACATAAAATGATGTTATTTACATAAAGTTATACTGAATGACAAAGGATCATGTTTTTACCGATATTTAGACATTACACAACACCAAAAGTGGTTAGCACTGTCAGCTCACTGCAAGAAGGTAGCTGGTTCAAGTCCCTACTGGACTATTTGGCTTTTCTGTGTGGAGTTTGCATGTTTTCCCTGTGTTTGTGAAGGTTTCCTCCTGGTGCTCTGGTTTCACCCAAAGACATGCAGTATAGGTGAATTGAATAAAGTAAATTGCCTGTAGTGTATGTGTGTGAGTGTGTGAGTGAATGATTGTATGGGTGTTTCCCAGTGCTAGGTTGCAGCTGGAAGGGCATTCGCTGCATAAAACATCGCTGGATAAGTTGGTGGTTCATTCAGCTGTGGCAACCCCTAATAAATAAAGGGACTAAGCTGAAGGAAAATCAATGAATGACAACACCAAAATACTGTAGGCACATTATATAAGCCGTGTGACCGGGTCAGTCTGATGATTAATGATCTTCCTGTGCTGATTTTTGTTGTTGTAGCTCAAGCAGAAAATTTCAGATCTGACCAGCAATATTTACCTTAAGGATGCAGAATTACAATACTGTCACTCACAGTAGGTCAAATAGTCTTTGATATCTTAAAAAAAAAAACATAAATAAATCCGTCCCGAAGAGCAGTCCCAATAGTGTGCTGTGCTTTCCTTCTGTAGAGTGTCCCGTTACAGGACAGAGGCAGTAATGTTGGCCCAGGGGTCCTCATGTCTGAAGGCTAATCTAGAAGAACATGAGTATGAGCTGGAGTGTCAGTCGAAGGAGCTGATGGCACTGAGAATGGAGCAGAAGACACTGAAAGAGCAGCTTTCAGCCGCAAACCTGCAGAACGAGCAGCTCCTGGAACGCTGGCTGGAGGAGAAGAAAGAGGAGGCCAAGAGGATCAATAAACACAACGCAACACAAGAAAGGTGAACATACTATTTTTTTTTATTTAAGGATTTAGGTCAATCAAAAACTGGGTGAAATTTAGGCCAGATTTAGAGATTCAGGTGAACTTTTTTTAAGCAGAATATTAAACAAGATTTTAGCTAAAACTGCTCATTGTTGCTTCATATAATGCAAGTCACTACCAGCACTTTCAGAGTAATAAAGAAAATTAATAAATAAGAGACTTGTAGCTCCTCCTGCTGACACATTGATGCCTTCATTCATTAATTCATTTTCCTTCGGTTTAGTCCCTTTATTTATCAGAGGTCGCCACAGCGTAATAAACCACCAACTTGTGCTGCATGTTTTACACAGCAGATGCATTTGCTGCTGCAACCCAGCACTGGGAAACACCCATACACTCACATTCCATCACATCCACTGTGGCCAATTTAGTTTATTCAATTCACCCATAGCGCATGTCTTTGGACTGTGGGGGAAACCCACGTCACGGGGAGAACATGCTAACTCACACAGAGATGTTAACAGACCCAGCTTGGGCTAGAATCAGCAACCTTTTTGCTGTGAGGTGACAGTGCTAACCACTGAGCCACCATGCCACCCTGCATTGACGTCTTGTGTAGTGAAAAAATATTCTGTGAAATAAACTGAACATCATTTACTACAGTAGTACATCTAACATGCTCAGGCCATTTGTGGAGGCTGTGAATTAAAGGTAATGATGTAAAGTTGTGGTGCAGGAATGACATCGGAAGGCTAATTTGCCATTATAATGGGGATTTATGAGAAAAGGATCTATGTAGTGTGTAATGTTATAGAACAAACATTAAAAGTATTGTTAACTAATGATTACCATAATTTACAAAATTATTGATTATCGTATTATTATTATTATATAACTGTAGGAAAATCTTGAACCCTCTGCAAAATATTCTGCAGAATCTGATGTCCTTCCTCCACATCTTAATTTCATTTTTTTTTTTTGCATAGATTGATTGTTTTGATTTATAACACAACAAATAGTTGTTATAAGATACTCACCCTGATGTCATTCCTTTTTTCCAAATTCAGAACACAAATTAAGATATGACATGAAATCTGTGGGTTTCCTCATCTAGAAACAGCAATGTTCCTGAGATGTTCAAAGTCCAGAAAGGGAACCAAAAGCAGTCAAAACATCACATGTCACTTTAGTAGTTCAACTGTAATCTTAAGAAGCTCCAAAAACACTTTTAGGTGCCATTAAAACTGGAAAACTGGATTGTTAGGTGAACATTTCCCCATGAGATAAATTTTTAGGAATAACAAACCGCAAAAAACAGTCAAACTTCTTGCTCTACAAACAAGCATGTTTGTGACAGGCAACGCAGAATGCTACAGCATAGCGAACTGTTTAAAGTCTAAAAATGAATGAAAGTGAAATGAGACTAAGTCTTGAGCCAAAAAGATTCAAATGGCTGTGACCGCTCATACTCTTAAGAATAAGGTGAATATCTTCCACTTCAGGTCAGCTTACACATTTACTACAGGCAATACCATGCTACCATGTGTGTTGAGCTGTGCTGACTCTAATGGCAATACTTTGTAATGCCTGTAGTAAGAAATGTGCACCCTGACAAGAGAATATATATATATGTGTGTGTGTGTGTGTGTGTGTGTGTGTGTGTGTGTGTGTGTGTGTGTGTGTGTGTGTGTGTGTGTGTAAACAAAGCCATTTTTATTTTTGTTTTGTCACACAAATTTTTTTAAAAATGTTTTTGGTTCCTTTTCTGGAGTTTGAATGTCTCGGGACAGTTGCAGACTTTTAAGAGCTCTCAGATTTCATCTAATATATCTTAAATTGTGTTCTGAAGATAAAAGAAGGTTTCAAGGGATTCGAATGACATGAGGGCGAGTAATTAATAAGATAATTTTTATTTTTGGGTGAACAAACCCTTTGATTTTGTTTTTGCCTGTTTGTTTTTAGACTCAAATAGATTTGTATTTTATGAATCATGCTTTCAGCTTAAACTTTATTTAACCTTCTACTAAAAACTAGACTACATCTTTGGTGGCCTAAGGGTGGGTAAATTGAACGGCAAATACATTATTTTCGGGATTAAATACTGTATCTCTTCCCTGTTTCTCCAATGGTTTTGCACAAACATGACTTAATGTCTTCCATCGTCCACCAGGTGGCAGCGTTTGGCTGGTTGTCTAAAGAAGCGGTATCGCGCCAGGTCTCGCCCACCGTGTGCAACAAACAGCTCCGAAAACAAACCTTCAGAATCCAAAATTCAGCGCCCTCCATCTTAACACTTACTTAACGACGACAAATGTGACATTTTATAGAGTTTTTGGTGTTTTTTGTTCACTCTGGGAGGTCATTTCACATTCAGCATTCGAGAAAGCTGTTAAAATGAGACGTGAGGCCAAAAGGGTGGATTGCTGAATGTAAAGGCGAGTGATAAAGCTAGCGTTAAATGGTTTACAGTTTACAATATTTAATTTGCTAACAATAGTTCAAACATTTATAAACTGTGTTTTTAGCATTTAGGTCACAGCTAATGCTAACAGATAAACATTTAGAATATAAGTGTAAGCAAGAAATGTTGTGAAATGTTTCTATGAGTTAATTTTAAATAACAAATGAAACTTGAAATTGTTACTAACGTTACAAATATTTAATAACAACCAGTTTGTATTAGTTTTTTTTTATTTAAAAAAAGTTAAATAAAAATCCAGTTTTAAAACAAAAAAATAAAATGGCAAACAGTGTATCCTGTCATGATGAATGTTGTAATAACAACAAATTTCCTTTCTTCTGAGGGATGTTAAATCTCTATACATCCAATTCCTGCTATTGTATTTTTTTACCCAAATGCAGCAGTTTGACAAATTAAAAGCAGCACTTTTCATATATTTACAACCCGCTCAATTACTTAAGATCTTCACAGCAGCTCAGAGAAACATGCACAGCCCTGACACTGAAACTGTCCATCGCTGTGGATTATTCATGTACATAGATCACAGGAAAATCTGTAAAGGAATATAAATACCGAGCAATTTAGCCATCTCTATAGTCTGGCTCGCCATTCATAACATAACAGTTGGCACAATATGACAGATATAATCATCACATGCCTATGCAGAAAGTGTATGAAATTCCCTGGTATCCCCTTCTTCATTTGCTTTTCACATGAATTTAACGCAATATACACAGTTTGTTTGTTTTTTTCAATAAAATCGCCAAATACTGCTTCATTCGTATCGGGATGAGAAGAACCGTTTCATTAGTACACCTTCGGGGACATGAAAGATGCACAATTTGATAAATATTGAGATGATTCAGCAATCCTCTTCTTTATCTATAACTCCTTTCAACCTCAATCGAGCAAAGTCTTCAAATACAATGTCGTCGTCAGGGATTAAACTGCTGTTAGAAATAGGAACATGAAAATGAAGCTTAACACAGAATCTTATTGTCATTAAGCACAACATTTATATTGAAAAATTCTGCTTACTTGGTATCGAACTCTATCAAGTTGGTGTCAATTGGTGGATCCAACATTGGCACAGCTGTTAAACAAACAGTATTATTACTATCATGTTCCTTTAACTTTGACAGTCTACTTCAGTTTTGCCATTTTGTGATTATGTTTCCATGAATACCTGAGGTTGAGTGGGAAAGGCTGGACTCTGATGGTTTTGGATGCATCAAGACAAAAGGCAGTTCCACTGAAACATCCCTGAATAAAAAAATAAAAAAAATCAACACTGCCATCATTTGAAATAGCTAGGCTGTGAAAGAGCATAAAGTGATGAATCTCTCAAAAACCCACTGGGTCATGTTGTGTGCAAGATATCTTATTGTTCATGGGCCACATTCACAAAATTGTTATAACACTAAGTGAGTGGTTAACGTTTTCAAAAATAGCGGTAAATGTTTTTGGTTGGATTTTTCCCATAAAACCCATTCACAAGTATTGACTAAGGAACAGAGATGTTTAAAGCTCAGATTAAGATAAGGGCGGGGTACATAATAATTGGTTGATGGGGAAGGGAGGCATCCAAGTCATCCTAAGATGGTTTCTAAAAACTGCTTCAGGCTGTTACGTTACTCTTTATTTTTCCCACTAGAAAGGATGCTGATCAAAGTGATAGTGAAGGGATTCATTATGTTGCATCCATAAATTATTCCCATTTCCATTAATCAAAAAAAGTGATTAGAAACAGCGATATTGGAATAAAACTGGCTGGGCTAATGGCTGAGGGAATTTTCTACTTTGTATAATACACTCACCGGCTGATTTATTTACCAGGTTGGACATCATTTTGCTTTCAGATTTGCCTTAATCCTTTGTGGCATAGATTCAACAAGGTACGGAAAATATTTCTCAGAGTTTTTGGTCCATATTGATATGATAGCATCACGCAGTTGCTGCAGATTTGTTGGCTAAACAGTCATGACACGAATCTTCCATTCCACCGCATCCCAAAGATTCTCTGTTGGATTGAGATCTGGTGACTATAGAGGGCGTTTTAGTACAGTGAACTCATTGTCATGTTCAAGAAACCAGTCTTAGATGATTTGTGCTTTATGACATGGCGACTTATCCTGGTGGAAGTAGCCACCAGAGGATGGGTACACTGTGATCATAAAGGGATAAAGGGAAATACTTAGGTAGGCTGTGGCTTTGACACAATACTCAATTGGCACTAATGGGCCCAAAATGTGCCAAGAAAATATCCCCCAAATTATTACACCACCACCAGCCTGAACCGCTGATACAAGGCAGGATGGATCCATGCTTTCAAGTTGTTGATGCAAAATTCTGACCTTACCATCAGAATGTCGAGTAATTAGCCCCTCTCTCACAATGATACTGGTAAATATGCAGAAAATTGCGAAAAAACAGTGAAATTCAAAAAAGCGCTGTTCACACAAGAAAGGACGTTACAGAATTTTTCCGGAAAAGACCATTCACACATCCATTTTAAAATACCAGTAAATTCTGATATTAACCAGAAATGACCTCTAAACAGCTGCACTTGTATTTGTAAACATTTGATACATTACAAACTCTGTGGATGGATAAGTATTGTGAACAACTTCAATGAAAACATATGGAGAAAAACTTTCGCATGTCGAGATGTACATAATATGTGTGTGTGCTGGCTCTCACCGGCTGCTTCACGTGCACACGCGACACGTCAAGCAACTGAAGGAAGCAGAGCTTGAAGGTAAACAAACAACAGCTTATCAAACGGTCAGCACGTTTTAGAAATGCACATGCTCTTTCCAGCAATGTTCCTTCTGCATTTACACAGCGCAGCATTTCGGCAAATTACCAGTAATGTTACAACTTCTTTTCCAGTAAATAGCCAGAATGAATTTACTAGTAATTTCAAAAAGGGCCTGTTCACACATACAGACCTTTCCCGAAAATTGCGGGTAATTTTGCGGAAAGGTCTGCATGTGTGAAAGGGGCTAATGAGACTCATCAGACCAGGCAATGTTTTTTCCAATCTCCTATTGTCCAATTTTGGTTATCCTGTGCGAATTGTAGCCTCAGTTTCCTGTTCTTAGCTGACAGGAGTGGCACCCGGTGTGGTCTTCTGCTGCTGTAGTCTATCTGCCTCAAGGTTCAACGTGTTGGCGTTCAAAGATGCTCTTCTGCATACCTCATTTGTAACAAGTGGTTATTTGAGTTACAGTGGCCTTTCAGCTCGACTGAGTCTGGCCATTCTCCTCTGACATCAACAAGGCAATTGTCCCCCTATAACTGTCGCTCACTGGATATTTCTCTTAATTTGATCATTCTCTGTAAAACCTAGAGATGGTTGTGCGTGAAAATCCCAGTAGATCAGCAGTTTCTGAAATACTCAGACCAGCCCGTCTGGCACCAACAATATCATACCACCATACCATACCACATTCAAAGTCACTTAAAATCACCTTTCTTCCCCATTCTGATGCTGGAATTGAACTGAAGCAGGTCATCTTGACCATGTCTACATGCTTAAATACATTGAGTTTCTGCCATGTAATTGGCTGATTAGATATTTGCGTTAACGAGCAGTTGGACAGCTGTGACTAAGGCCGTACTCACACTAGGTACAGTTGCCTCGAACCGGGCCAAAGCACGCTTGTCCCCCCTCCCGTCTCCCCCGACGGCCCGCGCTCACACCATATCGGGCCTCGGCACGCTTACGTCATCGCTTCTGCGCTGTTCAGAAGCGCTCTCTATGGCAAGCCTTTTTAGCATTTAAATCTTTGTTCTGACTCCATAAATATATTTAGAGATATCTCTAATTATATTTTGACTAGTCATAATTATAATTCGACTAGTCAGAATGACAATTAGAGATATCTGCAATTACAATTGTACTAGTACAAAATCAGATTGGAGATATCTGCAAATATATTATGACTAGTCATATTCCTCCATTGAAAAATATTTGCAGATATCTCTAAATGAGTTTTGACTAGTCACAATTGTAATTAGAGATATCTCTGAGTTTTTACTAGTCATAATACATTTGGAGATGTCTTTAATTCATCATATTTAGAGATATTTACAAATATATTTGAAGATCTCTAATTAATTTACTTATAGTCGAATTACAGTTGTAGATATCTTGAATTGGATTTTTGACGAGTCAAAACTCATTTAGAGATATCTGCAAATATTTTTCAATGGAAGTCAATGGAGGAATATGGCTAGTCATAATATATTTGCAGGTATCTCCAATCTGATTTCGTACTAGTACAATTGTAATTGCAGATATCTCTAATTGTCATTCTGACTAGTCGAATTATAATTATGACTAGTCAAAATATAACTAGAGATATCTCTAAATATATTTATGAATAGTCAGAACACGGTTTAAATGCTAAAACGGCTTGCCATACGCTCTCACTCAGTAGCACAGTGGAGATTTCTCTAGTTATATCGTTTCAGTCGTTTGATATGCCGTCAAATATTTCGCCAAACAGTCCTTAGGGATGCGGTGACACGTAGTCAGATATTTCGTCGAACAGATCCGCCACTTTTGGCGCTCATAAACAATCATTAAGCTCTCGTGCTGCAGGAATGAGGAGGTCTGCTGAGGGCGCGCAGCTGGCGTGCTGTGAGCAGTTTGCCTCTTTAATAAACTACGGCAGTTTGCGTTCACTGAATAGTAAGAATGATTAATAAATCCATATCAAACAGTCCCTTAAAAGTCACGTCTCGCTTTCGGTTTCGGGCTTTGGCGCGTTTTGCACTCACACACAAGCGTACCGCGCCAAAGCCCAAGTGTACCGCGCTCAGGCACACCTCTTCCAACCGGGCCAGGGCCGGCCAAGTGAACCGTGCTTGAGCGCGATTCAGCGCACTCACACTTCTCAAACGATCCGGGAAACGGGCCTGGGCACGGTACGGATGGCATAGTGTGAGTGGGCCCTAAGAAAGTGGCCAGTGAGTGTGGATTACAAAGCAACATTTCATAATATTTTAACTGCATTTTTGGAGTATAATAAGGCAAACAAAATCTTACAGGACGACCCTCTGGCCTACCATGACGTAGCTGATGTTTTTATTTCCCCAGTAATACATTATGAAAGACTTTGTCTGAAACTGTGGTAATGGTGATTCATAAAACCAATTCAACTTATACCATCAGGATTACCAAATAGCTCGTAGCATAATAATAGTACTATAATATTTATAGTAATAGTCAATGTATCATTAAGAGTGATGGTTGATCATTTTGTGT